CAATATTAAATCATTGGGCGATTGAAATTACATAAATATATTGCACAATTTTCAATAACAAAAAATTATTAACTTGCAGAAATAAAGAAAAAATTCTTGAAAACTAGCTGATAATTGTTCAATTTGAATGGGTGTGATCTGATCCAATGAAAAAGACCTAAAGATTTTTTTTTCTTATATTAGTATTGGAATATATAATTTAAAAATATTTTAATATTTGTTTTAAATTGATTCAGTTAGCTTTAATATGATCAAGCTATTCTTTTATTTTCATTCTTTTTTTCATCATGTGATTACAATCTTTAGATATTTTTCAAATTCGAACGAATAATTATTGTCAACAAAACTCCACGAAAAAAAATTCGGCATTTTATGTGTTTTCAGATATTTTTCTTTCTTCATCTGTCTATCATCAAATGTGTGCGTGTGTGCCTTGGATACAGAAGAAAAAATTCAGTATTAGTAATTAACTGTCCATCATTCAAAATATCGATCCACTTTTTATCCTGATCGATCGATCCATTTGCATCCATAGTCGTCATTTTTTCCCGATCTTGATAACAAATAACCGATTCGAAAAATGCAATCACTGAAGCGATGATGATATGATTGTATTCTATATTCGAAGTTTGTATATGTCAATTCTGGGTCTGACAATCTCCGGTTTATAGTTACATCATTTTTTTTTTGAATCCAATTAGTCGATGATGATAAGTTCATGTTTAAATTTTATATTAAAATGATGATGGCACGCGCACGTCATTACAATTGTTTGTTTGAACAAGTTGTGTGGGGAAAAAGCATTCAGCCTGTCAAATCTAATGTGAATTATAAAACCTCAAAAGAAATTGGTTCTGTTGTCATGATCATCATTATCATTTATTGTGATCATGATTCAAATCATATTATTCTGATAATCGATATTGACTACCGATTTTTATAACAAGATGCCAATGTTTTTACTATTAAATTTTTAGGATTTCTTTTAATATCGATATTCGGTATACGAAACTATAAATTGAGAAAAAAACATTAATACAACAATACGAAAATCATCTTCAGAATCATCATTTATTTAAAATGGACATTTCATTTGTCAATGGATATATCATTTATATATGGTTAGTGTTTATAACAATAAGAATCATAAAAAAAAGTTAAGAATGAAAAATGCCTAAAATGTTCAAATACATTCAATTCATTGAATATCCATTCATCAATGTTTTGTTTGTTCAAACTGGCCAACCAAACATGGAACACACATACTTTCACAAAAAAAAATTCAATGTTCATCGTCATTGTGTCCGTCAATTTTTTTCATATTTATTTATTACATTTGAAAATTCGATCCAATAGTGAAATCTGCGTCCGACATAAGAAGCACACGTGCATCTCATTATATTTGTTTCCTACATTAACATCAATTTTTTTTATCATCATCATGATATGATAAGAACAACTCAAATACCCGATCAAATGAAATAGTTGATCGTTTTTTCATCGAATTCATTCATTCGTTGTCGATTGACAATTCATCGACAATAATGATGGTTAAGAAGAAAAGATTTCCATTTTCTAAAGTTTGTACAAAAAAACGATCTTCGACCATTTTCACACAGTATGATCAAGATTTGATATTTGGCGGCCAATGACTCTTGAAAGAAAAGTAGATAATTTTTGTCTATTGAATTTAACGATGATATCATTGTTGGAATCATTCTATGAAACTTAGAGAAAAATTCTTCAAGAAAAAAAAACAAAAAAGAACCAAGATAACGATACCAAAAATGTTCATAACTTTTTTCCTGTTAGTTGAATGTAAGAAACACACACACAACTGAATGGAAAAGAAGAAAAAATTGAATGATAAATCGATTTTTTTTCTTTCATACATATTATATTCGTATTCGTAATTGAGAGTATTGTACATACACATATGAATTTATCTTTTTCGAATGTTCTATTAGGCTAAAATCAAACACTTTCGTTATTTTAGATGAGTAATTTTATTCTCAAACAAAAATTATACATTTGATTATAATGAAAAAAAGTAGTTAGGAAAAAAATATTTAAAATAACTTAAATTGGCTAAGGTCAACTTGCTTCGTACCTACACAAACAGATTCATATTTTGAAACATAAATATTATATGCAAATTGTATTGTTACTTTTTGGTGTGCGTCATCATCATCACAATTTTCAATGTATCATCCGAAAATAGGCGTCCAAATCATTATTATATGTGGGATGTTTTCATTTTTTTTCTATTTTGGTGATCGTGTGTCTGTGTGAAATTAATTAATCTAATGTTTGACATTGGCATTATGTATATGATGGAGAAAGATGGATTTTAGAACAAAAAAATAAAATAATTATACGATAATCCAGTAATGTACTGTATTTCATTTTAATCATCTAACACGGTAATCGGATCCACAAAAACAAAACAACAACAAAATGCGTATGCAATTCAATATTTTATTCAAATGTAATTGGATCTCATCTTTTTTTGAATTTTTTTTTCAATTTCCAATGATTTAAATTATTATTATTTTGTTTGTGATGCTTCCAAAAATTTCATCACCATACTAATTCGTGAGAAACAAAGTTAATCATCTAAAACTAATGTTTATTTAGATGATTATTATTATGAAATTCGGAAATTGAAATCAGTATTTTCTCTTTATTTGAATCTTTTGATCACGAAATTGAATTTCTGGCTTTGGATTGATTGGCCTTGAATGGGGAAAAAAATCTGATTTAAATTAACTTTTCTGGACGATTCACATCCTCAATGATTTTTTCATACGAATAAATTCGAATTTAAAAATATGATTCCGGTGAATGATGAAACTAAATTTTTTTTTTGAATTAATTCAAATTCGATGATAATCGTAAAAAAATCGGTTTCTCAATCATTAATGTTTTTAAAAATTTTCATTTTGTTTCAATGTGATTTCAATTTTTTTTAAGAAAAAGGATTTTTTTTCAATTGTAATTATTAGACGTACATACAGAAATTAATTCTCAGGGACAGAATTTATTTATTTATTTTTTCACTTTTGTCCAAAATAAGAAATTGATTCTTACCATCATTAAGAACGATATGAAACTATAGTGTTTTAATATATTTATTCAAATAAATATCTACAATGATATAAACAATGGCGACAAACATTTTATTCAACAGTTGATCATAATAACAATAATTATTATTAGTATTATTATTTTCTTATAAGCAAACATGACAACAAGGATTTTTTTTCATACTGTAAACATATATGAGCAAAATAAAATGAAAAGCTTGAATAATAATAATCAATGAAACTATGAAAGATAGTAAAGGTGAACAATTACGTAAATTGAATCAACATTGTATCATAAAATTTGCACGTAATAATTTTCAATATGGTAAGCACGTGCATAGTTATTTCGAATACATTGTTTTATTTTTATGACGTAAAAATTGTTTATCATTGAATTCTAAAAATAATATTCAAAATGTTATTTCGATCGATTTTTTCTTTTGATAACTATGATTAGTTTTTTTGTTTGATCATTTATCCATTTGATAATGATGGAATACAATTTAATCAAAAATTATTTTTTTTCATCTTATATGAATTAGATCCTTTTCAACTTGTATTGTATACCACCAATAAGTATTTTTTTGATCTTAGAATCGATCCAAATCATTCCCCATTCAATATTTATTATTTGTGTACAATGTTTCCTAATTGAATTTGCCCAATGGCTGTAATTGATCGAAATTAACGATCTAATGTCCATTTTTTCCATTGTTGATGAGATGAATCGTAATTTTAATCGAATAGAACAAAAACAACAATTCGACTTTACTTGAAATAGCATCACAATAATAATAATAATAATAGTACAATATAATGCAATTATATTATGATTCAATTTTGATTACACAACAACAAAATCTAGCAATAGAAATAATCGGATGTGAATTAAACATTCATACACATACACACATATATCTTCGAAAAAATTTGGATCGATACAAACAGTTGAATCAATTTCTATACTATTCTCAATATAGCAAGATTGTGTGTCTTCGATGCATCTATTTAACATCAGTGATGTTATTATTATTTCCTAATGTATCAGCCAAATGTGTTCAAATTGTTTTCATGCATCTTAATTTTTGTTTTTGTTTCTGTTATATCCTGTTGTGATGTTAACATTGAATCAGTGTTAACATTACATTATTGCATAATGATGTTTAGAATGCATAAAACGTTCATTCATTACATACAACACAAATAATCATTAAAATCGTTACTTCGATCAATGTGCAGATGATTATTATAAGACATTCAGATGGTATTCGAATTTTTTAATTCGGTATTTTTCCCGTTGAAACTGAATTTTTTGAGTTTTTTTTATTATGATTTGGCAAAAAGTAAAATTTCACCTGAAACAAATCGTTGAATATACAATGGTCAGCATCACAAATCAAATTGAATTTAATATTGGAGTTACCAAATATATCACATTTTTCAAGCATCCATTGAGAATGAATTTTATTTGAATCAGTTCGAGTCACAAATTAAACAGAAAAAAATGATAATTTTAGTAACAAGAATGAGCGAAAGTCGAAAATATTGGAGTTATTTCCCTTAATAGTTTTTCAAATGTTATTTCGATCATAACTGATCGATTGACATGGTCAGTCATTGTGAAAGATGAATGCCATTTATTATGCAATAACCGGATCGTTTGTTTATTTTGTCTATGATATGCGAATCGAAATATAAATGATCATCTATGGATTTGTTTGTTCCGCATTCAATCATCATTCATCAAATTCACATTGATGAATATTGTACATGAATGTATCGCATCATCGACAATTATGATGATAAATCGATCGATTCAAGGAGAGAATCAAAGTTTGAAATAGCACACACACACACACCCATTTGGCTACTTAGCTAGAAAAGGTGCAGATCATATATGGCGAAATACATGAATAAATTTTTCAACAAACAAAAAAGCAGATTTTAATTACAAAGATCACTCAAAATAGTTTCAATGGCTTCGGCAAACGTTGCAGCAATTAATGTTGGTGATTGATTGATTTTGTTTTCATCACCTGGTCGATATTTTCCTGTTCGAACCAATATACCTTTCATACCTAAGGCCATGGCTCCTTCAATATCATCGCGAACATCCTACATGATTCAATATAATCAATAAAAAATTTGTAAGTCGATCAATTTGATTAAAAAAACTTACATCACCGATCATAACAGTTTCATCAGGTTGAATATTTGCATTCAACGATTGGAGAGCGGAAAGGAAAAAATTACGATCAGGTTTACCCACCACTTTAATGTCTTCAGGTTTAATGTCGGCACCATAAGCTAAAGCTTTGACAAAAGGACCTGGACCAAGTGCTAAACCTTTAGTCGTTCTATAATATCGACCTTGATGTATAGCCACTAATCGGGCACCGTTTAATAATTTATCAAATGAATCGTTTAACGTATCATAATTAAATTTTGATGGTGCCAGTCCAACAACTACTGCTTCACCCTTATTATTATCAACTAATTCTTTAGTTACATCCTGAAAATCTTCCATGGCGCTATCTTCAAGCAATAAATGCGGGCGAAGTTTTTCATTCCGTATAAAATCTCTAGCCGCGATTAATGATGTGAATATTTCATTTTTTTCAATATCAAATCCAATGGATTTCAAGCGTTCATAAAGAAAATTTTGGCTCTCTTTTGTCGTATTTGTAACAAACTTATAACGAAGACCAGATCTACGTAATCTACATAATCGAAACATTAATAAAGCATCTCAATTAATAAAAATTTTAATTCAATTTAACCTTATCAATGCATCAATTGATCCGACAATTTCATTCGATTCAATATGAATCGTGCCGCTTAGATCAATAAGAACTGCTTTTAATTTGCAAAACATTTCCGATCACTCACAGTTTAACTTACAACTGGTTGTTATGGACTTGAATAATTTATTTTCAAAGAAATTCAAGGGTAAAATTAAAATTAAAAATAGGTATCAACATACGAATGGAATACAATTGTTTATGAATGGTACTTCTTACTACGCGCTCATTGCAGTGTTGTTGGCGCCAAAAATATCAATACATTCAAACAAAGAAAAAGCAGACACACGCAACCGTGTACTTTTAAATTTTAAATTCCATTTTTTTTATTTATAACCTTTTAATAAGTTTTTTTTCAAAAATGTTGATCAGAGATTATGAAAAAGATAAAGAAATTATTCGTAAAGTGATTCTTGGCCCCAACTATACAGACAAATTAATCAAGATCGCTGATCGAGAAGAAATTATTTTGTCTATCGATTTGGATGATGTTGAAAAAGCTGATCCAGATTTTTGTACTGCTATCGTTAGCAATACGAAACGATATTTACAATTATTTTGTCAAGTTATTGATGAAGTTTTGCCAGATTTCCGTGTGCGAGAAACTGTTTCCAAAGATAAATTGGATGTATTTATTGAACATCGTATTCTAGCCGAGATGCGTAATCGTCAAGAAGAAAATCAAGCTGATTCAACTGCACAGAACATTACCACTAAATATCCACCAGAATTAATGCGTCGATATGAGCTTTATTTCAAACCACCAACAACACAGAAACCGATTCCTGTTCGCCAGGTACGAGGCAAAGATATCGGTAAATTGGTTTCAATAACTGGTGTTGTTACTCGTTGTGCCGAAGTGAAACCATTGATGGTAGTTGCTACCTATACTTGCGATTCATGTGGCTCGGAAACTTATCAACCAATCGGTTCACAATCATTCATGCCTTTGGAACGTTGCACTAGCCAAGAATGTAAATCCAATAAAACCTCCGGCCGATTAAGTCTTCAATCTCGTGGTTCGAAATTTGTTAAATTTCAGGAAATACGCGTTCAAGAACATAGCCGCGATGTCCCTGTCGGTAATATACCTCGTAGTATTAGCTGCATTTGTCGTGGTGAAATGACTCGACAATGTGCACCTGGTGATCACGTGAATATATCCGGCGTATTCTTACCAATTAATCGAACTGGATTTCGACAAATGGTCGCTGGTTTGCTAGCTGATACATACATCGAAACGCATTGTATTTCAGTCACGAATAAAACATTGGAAGAAGAGGAATACGATATGACTGATGAAGAATTTATCCGAATGATTGAAAATGAAAACATCAATATCAATCGATTGGCAAGCAGCATTGCTCCGGAAATTTATGGCCATTTGGATCTCAAAAAAGCTTTACTTCTATTATTAGTCGGTGGTGTAGATCAGAACAGTGCAGGTATGAAAATTCGTGGAGCTATCAACATTTGTTTGATGGGTGATCCTGGTGTCGCAAAATCTCAATTGCTTGGATTTATTGGTGAGTATTTTTTTACTAAAATTTGATCATTCGTTTAATTTTACTTCGAATAACCAAGATCGAGTTGCCACGCGAAGTGTTTATACCAATGGGAGAGGTTCCTCGGGTGTTGGTTTGACTGCAGCTGTCATAAAGGATACAATAACAGGAGAATTTGTCCTTGAAGGTGGTGCCTTGGTATTAGCCGACCAGGGCATTTGTTGTATTGATGAATTTGATAAAATGCTTGAAGGAGATCGTACAGCCATACACGAAGTCATGGAACAGCAAACAATTTCGATTGCTAAAGCTGGTATTATGACCACCTTGAATGCTAGAGTATCTATTTTGGCTGCTGCCAATCCAGTATATGGGCGTTATAATACTAAAAAATCAATTGAACATAATATTCAACTTCCAGCAGCTTTATTGTCTCGTTTCGATCTTTTATGGCTGATTACTGATCAACCGAACAAAGATAATGATTTTAAATTGGCCCAGCATATTGCTTATGTGCATCAAAATTGTGCGGAGCCAAAACTTCAATTTGAACCATTATCAATCAAAGTCATGCGTCGATTTATTCAGATTGCTCGTCGTCATAATCCAGTGATACCTCCACATCTAACTGAAGATATTGTTGCTGCATACATTAATATGCGAAATGATGCCCGAAATAATCAGAATATGACTTTTACTTCGCCTCGAACATTATTGGCCATTTTACGTCTATCGACTGCTTTGGTTTGTTATTAAATTTTTAACAATACAACTAATCTTATACTTTTTCTAATTTTTTTTCCATTAAAAAGGCAAGGATTCGACTTGCAGATACCGTTGATCGCGTCGATATTTGTGAAGCTATGCGATTGATTGCCGCATCCAAAGCTTCAATACAACCTAACCAGGAAGATAAACCCACTGTATCGAAAAATACTAAAATCTATCAAATCATTCATGATATGGCTGAAGATCGTGTTGTAAATATGGCCGATGCCATTGAACGTTGTACGATTCTTGGATATACTAATGATGATATCGAAGAAGCCATCGAAGAATTTGAAAACAACAACATGTGGAGTGTTAGCAAAGACGGTTCTCGTATTCTTTTTGTCTAACCTTTAATGATTTAAAATTTGTATTTTAATTTTTTACTCGATAAAAATAAATGGATTTCAATTATTGAAAATTTACACTTTGAATTCTTTTCATTCTCACAAAGGATTAAGGTCTATTATGTGAATAAACGTACTGTATTGGATGAGATGGCAAATAACCATGGTCGATTTGGATGAAATAAACATTGCAATATTTCTGTGTGTTTTTTGACATTTTGAGCTTTCAATACTTTCACAGGAACAATTAGAGCGTTCTGTAAAAGATCATTATAAACCATTCCATGACATATTACAACTGTTCCATCATCCGAAGATGATGCAAACAATGGATATTTACGATGGAAATCAACACATCGAACAGCTTTTTTGTGATAACGCATTGTTTTATATGGTTTATCCGAAAGATCCAAATCGAACCATTGAACACGTGGATCCATACTGCTAATGATAATATTATCACCGCCAGGATGAATAGCCATGCTAGATATTTCATTACAATTGGCTAATAATTTCTTTGTCATTTGTTGCTTGATCAGATCATAGATTCGAATAGTTCGTTTAGTTGCGACGAAAAAGTATGCTTTGGTGGGATGGAATTTCACATATTGAATAATATCTTTTATTTTCTTGAATGGAACCTGTGATTTCATTCGAGAAAGATGATGAATTACAATCGACCTATTGGCAGCTTGAGGCATTATTGTAGAAAAATATTCGCCTGCTGCATGCCATGTCAATTGTTTAATTTCGAAATCATGTATAATCATTAAACGTATGCCTTTACGCCAATCTTCAGCATCATTTTCTGGGTGAATGCGTTTCCAATGGCAGACTGGATTTTCTTTCTTTTTAGGTGTCTGTGATTCTTCTTCAACAATTGGCCCATCGTCATCATCATTAGTTTCTGGATTTAAATTTTCAAAATATTGATCGGTTTGTTGTACTATTTGTCGTTGACCTAAACCAATATTGATAATGTAAACAATATTTTCCACGACAATGGTCACAATCGATTTGTTTGCAATCGGAAACCACGATATATTGCTGATAGGTCCGGGAAAATCGAGTGTCTTGAAGCATCGACCAGTTAGTATTTCCCATATTTTAACGACACCAGCTTTATCACCAGAAGCCATATATTGGCTTGATTGCTCGACAGTAATGCAAACGATATTTGCCTCATGTCCATTATATACCATTGATTGTATGGATGGAAAAGGTTGCAAATCTGATGGCTTAGGCAATTCTGGTATAAGATCTTCTGGATTAACTCGAATACGGTTCTTTCGCACACGAGGACAAAGATAAAGATCTAGTGATCGTTCAAATCTTTCTTTGATAAAATCAGGATAAGCTGGTACTTGACGCAATGAATTATAATTGCGAGGTATAAAATTAATTTTACGATCTTCAGGATCTTGTTCTAGCCAATCTTTTTCTTCTTCTTCAGTGAATAAATATTCAGGGGGAGGATTGTAAGATTCTTCGTGACCAGGTGGTTTTGGCTTAGGTGCTGGGATATATCGATCTAATCTTGGGTTTTTGCCTTCTTTTTCCCAAAGATCATAATTAAATTCGAATGGTTTCGGTTTCTTAATAATCGGTTTTGGTTTGAATCGAGCTTTTTTAATGGCTGATACTAATTTGCTGACCAATCTTTTTTCTGATAATGATGGAATAAAAGCTGCTTTTGGCTCTGGACGATTTGTAACGGGATGAATCTGTTTTTCATACGTGAAAAAATCTATAAACGATTCATATGGGTTATATGTCGGATCGGGACATTTAGCATTTCGAATTCGTTTAACAAGATTAACATCCTGATCACTGAGCACTACTTTTTGTCCAGTAAGATTATCTTTAACGGTACGCCAATAATTCGGATCATCAATTTGATTCAAAAATTCCTGAACTTTATCATCATTTTTAGGTTTGATAATCTTACGTCCATCAACATCATAGCCAATATGAACATAATCTTTATACCATTCGTACGGAATATTTCCGATAGTATTGAGAACATCCTATAAATAAATTTAGTTAGAATTGATTGAATTCAAACAATCATTTCATTTCAAAACCTCTTCATCAGATGAATCGTATTCATATTCATCAATTTCGGCCTTATTTTGTCCGGTAAACATTGGTTCGGTATCGTTTCGAATACTTTTTACATCATGCTTATTTTTCAAAGCAGGATCAGCTTCTTCACCATTTTCTGGCGATATTTTAGTAAATATGTCTTCTTTCTCATCAGAACTGGAGAATTCAACCCCCTCATCATCACTAATATCCTGAAGGGTTATCTAAATTTAAAATAAAAAATAAGGATCATAATCTATAGTTAAAAACGACTTACATTATTTTTTACGTCTTCAATTTCACCTGATAACGATTCATCATCGTCAATATTATCATCGCTATCGTCTTCTTCGTCTTCATCGGTTTCATATTCTTCATCGTGGTCGTCTTCTTCTTCTTCTTCCGAACTTGTTTTGACAACTTCATCTTCGGGTATTTTACGTTTGGTTGATTTTTTCATTATTCAATGTTGGTTGGACAATATTAATATCAAATCGCGAAAAATACTCGAGGTTCAAAAAAGCGAAAATCGAGACCGCACGTGGATCACATGAATTGATGAATAAAGTGCCGGTCATAATATACGTCTCGCAATGTGCAAATCATTACTTTCAAAATTTTATTATCTTATGGATTTGACAGTAAAAAAAGAAAGTATTCAACAATTTTTTAACTTCGGTAAATTAATTTAATATCTTTCATAGTGTGGGATCAAACCTATATATCTTATCAAGTAGAATAAACCTATAGTGACGGATATGACAAACAGAAAATAGACATAATTCATTGATGAGTTTTTGCTTGATATCTCTAAGTTTTCGGTTGTTTTGTTTGATAGCGATTTATCAGTTCCATTAAGTGATATATTATCATCGAAAAGTGTCAAATTTCGAATATTGTCAAACATCGATGATAAAGGAATCTGGCTTACTGATCTTTGAAATCCAGCGTATGCAATCGGATATATGGATTGAAGAATCCATTCTTTGTTATCATTCGATAGCTCAAACCATTCGGACTTGTTAATCAAATGTAAAAGATTGAACAGAAATTTATTAGTCATTTTGATTAAATTCTGACATTCTTTATAATTCGATAGATTAAGATGATCAATAAAATTCTTTGATAATGAATGTGATAGACCAAATGTTTTTACGAATCGTTGTGCGCAATCCATTTCGGTTGACCCGAAAATATTTTCAAATCTGATAGCATTAATTATAGATTTTATGGGTTCATTCGTTTCATTCAAAATCTGATATTTAAGTAAAGGCAACAAACGTGATGCTATATTTCGTCTATCTTGCCCATCCAATTCTTTCCAACGTGAATGAGTTGATTCAAGTATTTTTAGATTTAGATATTCAATAAAAGAACGGCAAGAAAGATTATCATTTAAATTTTCTGTAATAAGATTTTGAATGTTTTCACTAAAATCTTCGCCAAATTGAAATTTATTTTCAATCATCTCTAGACACGACATATTATCAGCGATGGAGTTCTTGCCAAAAGCAATAATAATGAAAATCAATAAATTAACATACATTCTTTGACTATTTGATTACTGAATTATAAAATTCATGAAACATTTATTTATTCCTGTTATCACACACAATAAACAATAATGTAAATTCAATAAATAAAAATATTCGCTAACTAAATTAAAATTTTAAAAATACAATTTGAACAAGAATAATTATGGCGATGAGAAAAATATTGCCAAAATTTGTATGGGCAAAATTATCGCCATTCATATCAAGCTTTACCGTTGTTGTTCTTGTTTGATTCGGCGATGATGTAGTTGAATCGGTCGTAGTAATCATCGTGGTGCTAGTAGTTGAAAACGGTGGCAAGGAATTGGTGGAAACAATTGTGCCCGATCGATTGAAAATATTTTCCATTTTATGATCGGATTGAATACTTTCCGTTGTCGTGACCAATTTTTCTGTGGTTGGCAATTTTGTGGTCGTAAAATCATGTAATCGAATTTTATCTATTCGAGAATGATTTGATGGAGGTGAAGTTACATTTTGTTTCATAGTTATATTAGTAGAAGGATTAGCTTCCTGTTCATCAGACTTGAAGATGATATATGTTGTATATAGTTCTTCATTGTAATAGCTTGGAGTGGTAGTTTGGACTAAACTTTGAACAATCGGTTTGATATCTTTTGTTTCAACAGTAGAGTTGTTACCCAAATTGAATGATTCAAAGAATGCATCAAGGTATTCATTCTTGTTGAATACACCATCGTTGTCAACGTCTTTGTTGGCAGTAGCATTACCGAAACCATCATCGAGTGCTGAAGATAAATTCATCAAATTACAAGAAAAAAGAAAAATTAAAAAAAATTTTGATGAAATCATGATGATAATCAAGTTGAAGGAAAAACAACCGATAAATGCAAGTCAGAAAATTTCAAAACAACTTATATAGAACAATTTACCCATCTTCAATCGAATGAATCGAGTCATAATGTTAAAATATCAACGACGTTATATTTTTCAACCCATGAGATGTCTAAATTTTTTTTTGAAATCATCAAAATAAAGGCACATTTTTTTTTATTACATCCAAAGTCTTTTGATTGATTGATTTTAACAACAAAGTAAAATATTTTATTGTTTCCCAAATTATGGCTCGTATTACCATCATCATCATCATCATTATTCTACCTTTGGTCATTACTTCGGATCATTTGATAATCAACTGTCAACGATCAATTCGTATGGAAGGTGATGAATGTAAAAACAATGAAGACATGGAATGTCTTGATCGACATGTGAACGAATTATTTGTCAACATAAATCGTTTCTACAGTCCAAATACTGGTTACATCGACATAAGCTATCTAAATCATCCTTGGTACAATTCGACAATCAAATTTGATCTAGCTACTGCTTTCAAATGTATCGATAATATTTCTCCGTTGGATAATTATGAGGACGAAGAAAAAACAATAATACGTTCATTCCCATCTCGCTTATTGAATTGATTATTAATTATTAATTGTTTGAATTTATCATTTTATTTTTTTATTTTTTAAAATAAAGTATTGATTAAAAAATTATTCATATCCTGAAATTGTTTTAGCAAATTCCCATTCACCAGTGAAACTAAAGGGACCTTCGATACGAGAACCACGGTCTGCAGTGACAATTGCCAATTGATATTTATTCAGCGATCGGGCATCCCGATAGAAGAGAACATGCAAACATTTCTTTAATAGTTCGATGGCTTCAGTTTCAGTGAATTTGCCATTTTTAGCTTCATATTCTTGACGCATTAACGGTATGGCAAGATAGTTTCCGAAACCCGAAGCAATATGTGGCGAACAATATGATGTGCCAAGCCGATCGGATAGTCCAAGATATGGTTTACCATCCTCATCGATGCCACCGACCACCCAGCTGCACCATAAGGGATCCATTTTGGAACGTTTATTATACTGAACTCTCGTAATCCAATTATGAAGAGCTTTAGGTCCAATCTGTTGCTCATCTTCATAAGACGATTCATCAATCACTTTTTGTTCAATCAATTTAGCAATATGTTGATAATCAGCATAATCACCACCGCAACCAAGAATTGTACGATCATTAACACAATTCACTCGTTGAACATTACGAAATCGAGCTAATGAACCATAACTGGCCAATTGATCGGCCGCGATTACAACACCTTTATCGAATACAAGTCCCAAAACCGATGTACCAGTGCAAATCGGTTGTTGACTACGTTGTGTTTCAATCGAATCATTATATTGGAATTTGAAATTGGTAGCCATTCTTTCGATAAATCAATTGAAGTTTCAAAGCAAAAATATCAAATGAAATAAACAAATTAGTTTGCATTTAATGCAGTCATGACAAGCAAATTTTTCCAGCGTTCACAAAGCAAACCTTTCAAAAACAATGTTTTCACTAAAATATTTCTCTATCAATAGATGGCATTGATAATCAGCTTCTAAAAACTTTGCGGCAATAAAAAATTGAAAAAAAATATATAAAAATCATTCGAATATTCGAACGTTCATTTTTATTCGATGATTTTATAATAAAGATTTATTTACAGAAAATCAATTTTCTGTCCTCCTTGATTGTGAGATGAATGACAATGATCAATTATATCTTAATTCAACAGGCAGAGATTTTCCGGTCTTTTTATAAATTTTATAAAGTTCAATATTGTTGAAATAAAATTCCCTTTTAATGTAAGCGAATATCAAATCGGTGAGGAGAAAAATCTAAGAAAATTTCAAAATAATTATTTTCGATCTTAATCAAGATTCATTTTTCATACCTGTCCAATATTGAAGGCAAGTGTTATACCAAAGTAAAAATTTGAATTTGCAGTACCTAATACGATCCATAGATACCAGAGAATAGGAGCTAATACACTGGTTGTTGCTATTGTACCAGAAACCACTAATGTGCTTTTCATATCTATTCAAGAAACAAAAAGTTAGAATCTTAAAAATTTCAAAAGATTATATTACATTCAAACAAATGACTCCATTGTGGCAGCATACATAAGTATAGAGCGAAATCTGAAACGGTAGGATATGGCTTGAAAATTGAATGATTTATCAAAGTAATCATGAATAAAAAATATGGATTTTCATTCAATTTCAATGTCAATGGTATTAGATAAAGGAAATAATTGATTTGAAAAACCCAAATGAAAAACGTTCGAAAATGATCAAACATTTCGGCAAAAAAATACCAGAAAAGACCAATGTTTGGTGTTAAATCTGATACGGTCCACATAAAAACATAAGTAGAATGAATAAATTGAATAGATCCATTTTCGATCCATAAACAAAGCAATAAAAATGAAATTAATATGGCCATAAAAATGAACAGGGAATAAACAAGTGATTTCAATCGAATGGTCAATTGTTGTGGTTTGGAATCATCGGTATTTTTCGCCGAATTTTCGAGAATTAAAATGACAGGCGGCAAAAATATAAGTGAATAAAATGTGTTGACAACTGATAGGGCCAGAAGTGAAAATGACAAAAATCTTTGTCCATTAGAAGCCGTTAACATGATTAATGAGATTAAAAAATTCTGTAACACTTGTGTGGACTGAGCGACACATGGAAGAATAGAATAAGGTGACAAGGCGTATATCCAGATTATCCATTCAGCACAATCATAAATAGTAGCTGGGTTGATGAACAGTTTTTCACATGATTTCTTATCATCATTATCTTTCAAATATATCTTCAATCGATTCTTCTCGATTATTTTCATTGAATTTAACTGCATGATTGATACATTTGATAGAATGAAGGCTGTCATCATGTCGATTAGAATGAAAAAGATGACAATTTGAAATTCACTTAAATTATTGACTATAAATTGATAAAAATTAAGAAATATTGGCGATTCATGAAATGTATTTCCATCATATGGTTGAATGTTTAGTTGTTTCAGTTTGACACCTTCAACCACTAAAAATAAATAATTTTAATAAAAATTAAAATTTCATAATACTGATCGTACCTCTGATCCAAGCAGATACTGGCGATGATACTTCAACGCGTTTCGATATCTCGCCATAATAGGAACTATAACGAAATGAAAAACGAAGAAATACTCCCAAAGCAATGACAAATATTAATTTCCAATTCCCGAATGCCATCATAAAATCAATAAATCATTGAATTATACAATGAACATCGAAGAAATGATTAACGTATTTAATGAGCCGGCCACATGCATGCATCAACAACAAAAGTAGCACTCATATACAATGTATACGGATTTTAAATTTTTTGAAATTGATTTAATTAAGTTGATGAAAATACAATACTTTTAATACCGATTTTAAAATTCTTAACAAAAATTAGTATATAAGTTAAACAGGAACGAAATTTCAGGAATGTTTGTTGCCAACGGCATTTTGCTGCTTTTGTTGATGTTTTTGTTTAGATTTCTCATTCATGCTTTTCCGCCGTTTGAATGCTTTTGTATTTCGTAATGTATTCCGAACAAGCATCGATTGATGAGAAATTTTATTTCGAAGATTATTTTTGAGATTTTCTGTTGCTGATAATGCTGTTGTGCTAGCAGCCGAACCACCAGTATTACAAATATTCACCGGTGAATTTCCAATTGAATTGCTCGCATCGGATAATTGTCTGTTAGACAATGATTGAACATTGAATTCATTCGTCTTTTTGGGCAAGTATTGGTGGGCTTTTTTGCCATAATTATCTCGAATATCTGGGTTAGCATCTAATGAAAAAATAAATATATTCATGAATATTCAAAACAATCAAAAAATATAAAACCAACCATAATGATAGATAAGCATTTTCATGATGTTGTCATTTTTGAATTGAGCTGCAATATGAAGTGGTGTACTACCACTGAATGATTTTACATTCGGATCGGCTTTGAAAGTACCAGCCATCAATTTGACTATTTCGGGTTTATTGAATTTGGCTGCCCAATGCAAAGCACTATAACCCATTATACAATCACAGTAACGACATAATTCAGGGTCTTGTTTGAGTAATGAAACAAGTTCCTGATAATCACAGTTCGATGATGCTATGATCCATCTTTTCTTAAGCGGATCAGTTAGATGTACAGAACCGGAATCAGTATCCGATTGCTGTGAGCTAGGATTATAACGAATTTTATTGTTCACCACTTGTGATATAGAATTAGTAGTTGTCGTAGGCATGGGCAATTTCGTATCCTGAACCAATTTATTTAATATTTGTGCATGTTCTTTAACACGTCCGGGAGTACGAGATAATTCCTGGATTTCTTTTTTCACCGTATTCACTGTTTCAAATGTTTCAATCAAAGTCTGAACAATTTTAAAAATGAACAAAAAATGTAACAATGAAATTATTGCATGTTGAAAATGAAAAAAAAGTATAAATTTCAAACATACATCATTGGATTGTTGTTGTCGATGATTGTGGTGATGATGGTGGGCATTATTACGTAAAAAAGGCTCATTATTAGGGGCGGATGTCGAACCAGCAGCGGATGCAACCAGGACATTCGTTAATGATGATGATGGCGATAATGATGATTGGCTGAAACTGTTCTTTTTTCTTGGTGGTGGTCTTGGCGGTGGTGAATCATCAGCTATTGTGGCAGTTAACAATAATGGATCATTTTCATTTTCATTGCAATTATTGTTAACAATAGACGACGACGTTTTAGTTGAATTAATATTAATTTCGTTGATTGTTGGAAGGACATTTTTGATACTGGCATTGCTAGCACCATTATTCATCATATATCTTGTCGTTCTATTGTGATTTGAATAATATGGCAGCTGTCTCGGTTTCGAATCATCATTGGAGACACAACTGTTGGCCAACAAATGTTTCGGATTGTTGATAACATTTGTTTTATCGTCATTTTGTTGGCTGCTGTTGTTGTTGTTGTACGTTGATGTTGAAAGATTTAAATCATTTAAATCGTCCGTTATAAGCAATGATGATGGTCGATTAAGTTTAGAATTAATGGATGAGCTTATTGAAATATCATCAACATATGGATTTGCATGATTGAGATCGTTTAAATGTTTAAGGCCATTGCCATTTTTACAATTACCGTTTTCGTTCGAATAGCGATAATTGGTCGTTGATGATATGATAGCCTTTGTCTGTAATGGCGATGTCGGTGGAGAGCTTGATGATGATGATGCTGAAGATGATGAGGATGATGAAATTGAATTTGATGTCAGATTTATTTGTGACAAAGTTTTCATATATTTCGGGCGTAAAATTAGATATTTCATCCCCTATTTGTTTCGAAAAAAAATGTTTAACTAATAACAAATAATATGAGGGAAAATATATTACATACGTCTTCATTAATCACTGTTGCTAATGTATTTACATAGTTTTTAAATATAACCCGTGCATTTGCTGTAAAAGAATTGTAATTTTAATGAAATTCAGTCAAATTTTTTTCTCATCATCGCATACCTAATGTATTCGGATTGGACAACGCAGCTTTGAAATGTGTAACCAAATCAGTATAGATTACTTTACCACCTTTTTGTTGAAAATAACCTAGTATATCGTTCAATGAAAATTCGATGTCCATTTTTGGCTGATGTTGTCAATAATAAAAAAGAAAGAAAGATATCCTAATGGAGAATATTAGGTGGATGAATAAGCACTATCTTTTGAGATTTATTTTGATGTTGCACAACAACAATAACAAAACGACTGCAATGACTAATCATTAATTGAATTTTTCTTTTCCAACTTAAATGATTGTATTGTCAATAGAAGATGATAATAACAATTGATCAGTAAGTAGCCATGATGATACTGTGGATTCTAATAGTGATTATCATTATGATGACAATTAGCAACGACAATAAAACAGTATCGTGGATAGGATGTTTCAAGATTTTTCACACCTACAATAATTTGACAGATTTGCGAGTAACAAGTGAACAAGTTGCAATCACTCTCTTTTCATGTTGCTTCTTATCCAAACTTGTACTAATGTATCAATACTGATGTGGATGTTTATATGAAATTTTATACAGAAAAAAATTAACAAAACAATAATGAAAACTTGTTGTTATTATTGTCAGATATTTGAAAGCAAAGTTTAGTTTCCGGATTTTCTATAATATAAAAACAACAACAAATGCATCGAGATTATAAAATTATGATAATAAACGATGTGATGACGACAAAAATCATAAACAATCATCAAGCTTATGGCTCAAGCTTGCTGAACTTGTTGCTCATTCATATAACCTGAGTGTACGCACAGATACTTTCGCGGCCAATATAAATGGCCACATTCTTTCAATGGTTTTTGCAACGTTTTTTTTAGAAAGCCTAATACAAACTGGTCCTGGCCAATTTCAATTATTAGTTGCAACGTTTACACCTATGTAGCACTACAACCTTAAACTTACCTGAGCGTTTCAATATTTATCCAATTGGTCTGTATCGGCTACCAAAAAAAAAAAATTGAAAAGGGAAAATTCGTTCATGTGTATAGTTGAATAATTTAAACTAAAAATATGTAACAAATTCTTCAAATTTCGCCATTTGACATAGACATTCTTTAGATTTTTCATTCACTTATGATATCGATAAATTATGTAATATCAATGAAAAAAATCTTTTTTTCTGCGGGTTTTTCTATGGATGAAAAAATCCTGTCAAACTGGATTTCTTCTCTGATTACGTTTGTCTATCATGATCATGATTTTCAATAATAGATGGCACCAGAATGATAAAATGTTCCAACATGTGTTGAATATTTACGATTGAAATTTAACATGATCAAAACAAATTCTGATTCGGTAATTTATTTCAAAATAAATTTGGTTTATTCTATATATTTGTCATTATCATCAATGAGTATCAATCTTTTCTGTTTTTTCTTTTAACATAGAGGTTAACGAATACAATATGTCGGACAATCCGAATAAAGACATTTGTGATATGTTGATCAAATTGGGTGAACATGAACGCGATGTCAATGGTATCATTTATAAATATCATGCCTATAGAAAAGCGGCAAAAGCTTTGGAAACATATGGCAAACGAGTGAAATCTGGTGCTGAAGCTCAAAAACTTTCCGGTATCGGACCAAAGATTGCCGCCAAAATAAATGATTTTCTTCAAAATGGTTGTGATGACATTGTTCAAGATTCATCATCAAAAGAAATAGATCAATCAACATCGCCAAAATTGAAAAGCAAATCTAAAAAAGAAGTTCAAAATAGTACATCCAATCATTCTAAGAGTGAAGAAGCCAGTTCTACTACGGATGACCTTATAGAAGAGAAATTTGATAAAATCTATGGAATGACAAAAATTGATATTATGCGTTTGAAAATCAAAGGTATTAAAACGATTGGTGATCTAAGAAATAATATTAATATAGCTGAATTGAATGAAGCGCAACAAATATGCTTGGAACATTATGATGATCTACGTTTAAAGATATCGCGTAAAGAAATTATAAAATTTGAAAAATTGATTTCGAAAACATTGAATAAATTATCAAGCGTAGATGTAGAGATTGAAATTTGTGGTCAATTCAGAAGAAGGATTGAAGAATGTGATAAAATTGATTTATTGGTTATTGATTTGAAAACCAAATCAACAGATTCTGATGCTGAACATAAATTGAAAAAAAACATGAAAATTATACATAAAGCTCTTTTTGCTGAACAAATCCTCCTGAAACGTCTAGACTTAGATGGTTGTCATTTTGTCGGTATTGGAAAATTAGAACAATCAAGACCTTATCGGCTAATAAATTTGCATTTTGTTCCAAAAGATCAATACATTTGTGCTCTATTTCATCTAACTGGAAGTGAACAATTCCTGGAACGGATACATTTACATTGCATTGATCGATTCATTTTATCATCGCGTACACTTCGTCGTATTGGCCAAGCATTAGTACCTGGATTTCCTATCAAAATCAAAAGTGAAGAAGAATTATTTGATTATATTGAACATTTATATGTTGAACCAGAAGATCGACAATGAAATGATTCGTATTATTACATTGACTAATTTTTAATTTCTTACGTAATAATTATTACCTCAAACAATTTTTATTATTATTTTATTTTGAAATGAATGGGAATGCATCCAGTTATTGTTTTTAACAAGAATATTATGTCTTTAGAAAAAAGTACAAAATAAAAATATTAATTTATTTTCTCTGATAATCATTGATCATTTCTTCAATTTCTCTTGAAACTTCATTCAGACCGGTTTGACAACGATGGATGATACTTGATGATAGCAACTATGTGTCATACGAATTTAAACAAATTTTTTTGATATTATTTTTTGTATTATGGACACCTTCTTCGTTGTCGTCATCTTCTTCTTTTAGTTTTGATCATCATTTTTTTAAAAATGTTGTTTTCAATGCATGCATCAATACAAATGAACATCATAATGTAATTAACTGAAATGTAGAATCTGAATCTTGTTTTCGAATCCATCTTTTATCATTAAGGTTTATTTTCTCCAATCAAAAAGTCAGACCACTTTTACTATCCGTTAAAAAAATCGAATGTTTAAACAAATTATTAGCTTGTGTATTAAACTATTGCTGCATAATTATTTGGCAATTCTTGGTGATCGAAATCTGATCAAATTAAATCGACTCCTAATTTACTTTGAAAATAATTTTTGTCAGTGAATCCATAAAAAAGTTAATTTCGAATATTGTGAAAATTTTCACCTAAATAAAAAAATTGAATGCCAATTAGTAACAACGATTTCGGAATTTTCAATTGTCTCCTCTTAATACATTGCTTGTTTTTAAACTTGTGTCATTTTTATCGTCTCATTAAAAATAATGACCATAATGGAATCCACAGTAACTAAGGCGTCATCAATTCCATTTTCAATGACAAATGGTTTTTCGTCATCGCCTTCGCCACCAATATCGACTGAATACAATAATGATTCAATCAGTGAATCTTTGAAGATTACTGAATCAAGAGAATGGTCGATTCGTGCTTCACCAAAAGCATTAGCTACAATCAATCCAATACGAAAGATTGTAGAAACAATGAACTTGACTCCTAATCGCGAAAAACCATTTATTCCGCTATCAATTGGTAATGAATAACATTTTTTCCACTTATTCGAAATTTATTTTCATTTCCAAATTACTTATAGGTGATCCAACATTGTTCGGAAATTTTAAACCATGTGACGAGATACTTGATGCAATGTTAACTACGGTCAATTCCTCGAAATTTAATGGATATCAGCCAGCATCTGGCAATGAAGAAGCTCGCAAAGCTGTTGCTGAATATTGTTCATCATATGGAATGAATGTTGAAGCCAAGGTCGGGAAAACTCTTATCAATTAATGTTTTAAAAGCTTCGTGCTTAGCTATAGATTTCAAAGTTATCTCTATCTTATTCTCTTTTTTTAAAAAACAATTATGGTCAATATATTTTTATTTTTATTTTTTTCTTAAATATCATATTGTCATCTCATGATGATTATGATAATCAAATTCAATCAGTAAGAAAAAGAAAAAAACAAGCAATAGGTACAGGTACATGTGATTGAAACGAACGTAAATATGCATAAATTTCCCCAAGTTTAATAACAGCAAGTGAGCAAAAGAATTTCGTTCGGCTTTTCTCTAAATCGAAGGTCAACAAGATGAATGTTTTCATTTAATCAACCAAAAAAAATGATTTTGTTAAATCAATGATGAAGGATTTCAACATTTTTTTTTCTTGTTCAAAATCAAAATGTTAATAAGATTTAATCATTCGCTAAATGAGTGTCGTTTTCCAATACTGATTTAATTTGAATGATTGCATCAAATCATTTTATATAATTTTTCATTATTATACCAATCAATCGAATGTTTTTTGATAATGAATTCATTGAATTTAATTTCAAATCTGTTATTTTTTTCTGCAGGATATTGTTCTATCATCCGGTTGTTCACATGCATTAGATATGGCTATGGCTATATTAGCTACACCTGGTTGTAATATGTTGGTACCAAGACCTGGTTTTCCACTTTATAAAACATTATCAGCCACGATTGGTGTACAGATTAAATATTATAATCTTTTGCCAGAACGTAATTGGCAAATTGATATCGATGATTTAGAATCGAAAATCGATGAAAATACGGTGGCAATTATCTATAATAATCCTTCGAATCCGTGTGGTTCAGTTTTTCCGGAAAATCATATCCGACAACTATTGAATGTAGCTGAACGACATCACATTCCGATAATTGCCGATGAGATATATGAAAACATAGTATTTCCAGGCCATGAATTTCATGCTATAGCATCATTAACCGATGAAGTACCGGTTTTTCATTGTAGTGGAACAACAAAAAAATTTCTTATACCAGGATGGCGTTTAGGATGGATTGCAATCAATGATAAAAAAGATCGATTCGGAATAGATGTGAGTAGATTTAATTCCAAAAAAAAAGAATTTGCTTTGTAATTTTTTTTTCTCATAGATTCGTACGGGACTTAATTCTTTATCACAAAGAATAATCGGTCCAAATTCTTTAATACAAGGTGCTATCGGTCGAATTTTAACTAAAACGCCAAAATCATTTTTCGATGAAATTATCACCAATGTTCATGTAATTTTGATTGTTGATTTGAGAAAAATTCCTAATTTTTTTTTACTATCCTCTAACAGCGTAATGCTGATCATGCATTCAATCGATTACGTACAATGAAAGGACTGAAACCAATTCAACCCGCAGGTGCATTCTATATTATGGTTCATATCGAAATGAAAAATTTTCCAGCATTTCATCATGATTTACATTTGGTCGAAACTTTAGTTTCTGAAGAATCGGTTTTCTGTTTACCTGGTGCTTGTTTCGAATATCCCGGTTATGTGCGACTTGTATTGGCTATTGATTATGAAATGTTGGATGAAGCTATGGATAGAATTGAATCATTTACGAATAGATATTTTGTTAATGATCAAATCACAGATGAATCAAATGATTTAGACATTCAAATGAATTGAAATTTTCAATCATTCCGTTTTTTGTTAAAGATTATTTTTTCATTTTTTCAAATCAATTATTGTTTTTTTGGATGTAATATACAATAAATTTTACTCTGATTTAAATTTTTGTTTCATTGTTTTTTGAGAATGATAGTGTTGGTTTTTCGTAAAAACAGTTTTACGAATATTTTATTTGCAACTTAAGTCGATAGATGGAGGTAATTCATTGTAATAAAAAAATTTTGAAAATTTTAATTGTCTTATAATTCTCAAATGTAATTACAAATGATGTGGTTGGCTTGTATATGTCATATTGTTACTATTCATATTGGTTTGACAATAATTCTAATAGTCATTTGATATGATGGTGATGAATGACCTGACTAACCGTTTTGATGATGACAACCGGCGACCGAAACGGATCCATTGGCGTCATTTTGTCTGATTGCTTTTGTTTCATTCATTAGTATCTAATGTCAAACTGCTAAATGAATGTGCAAATATGTCATATATTCATGATCATATGTTTTCATTCGTCATTTTACGTTCTATATGTTGATGATTATTTTGATTCTATAGACAGAAAGATAGCAATCTGGTCAAAAAAAAATCAACTAACAAAAACTGCTAAACTGGTTGATAGTTAGTTAGTCTGGTTAGATTTTAAATATTATTAATTAATTGCCAAAACATTAACGACAACCAAAAAAGACAAGAATAACAACGAAAAACAACCAAATCTTAATGAATGTAAACATGAAACTAAAAAAAATTCTCAGCGGACAATGACCGTAACCCATATCCGAACTGATTTTCTCTTAGTTATCATTTTTTTAAGATAATGAAAAATTTACAAAGTTTGAGAATTTCTTTTTTTTCCATAATTTACTGTATGGCACTTGTAATTTGAACACAATTTAGATGACATGGCAAAGATTTTAATTTTTGTTGTTGTTTTTGTTTTAAAGAAATAAATGTCACTACATTTGTCAGTGTCTGTCAGTCATTGAAAATTGGTTTCCATTTTGACACAAAAAAATTTTTTGAATGAATTCAAAATTCTTCGATAAAATTTTCAGAAAGAGTGTGCAATTTTAATGTAAAAAAATGTATTCCAGTTCTGACATTAATGTTGTTTTTGAATCAAAAGCAATGAATCTGAAATCTAATTTTATTTACATCAAAGTAAAAATTCTATGTTTTTAATCTTTTCCTTTTTCGGTTTTTATCTTCAATGATGTTCAATCGTTTAATTTTTATTTTAAGATTTGATTCGATTGATTGAAACTAATCTAATGACCAAATATATGATATATTGAATTACAACTTTTTTTTTGATATTATGAACCAAGCTAAAGATAGCAAACGATGCAAAATATTAGTTTGTAACCATAATTTATCTGAATTCAAAACATAAAACCAAACTAAACCAAAAAAAAAATTAAAGTGAAATAATTGATTGATGGTTGATAATCCATTCGTCGAATGATGAATGATTCGAAAATCTTTTTTTTCACTTTTTCGTCATACTCGGATAAAAAAAAATGAGACACAAAAATGCAAATTTCAATTGATTATTTGATGCCCATAAAAAAAATTATAACGATTTCATTCTCATGATCAAGTCATTTGATATTTCCAAAACATTTTTCTTATCATTAAACATATAAAGACTACCATCATCATCATATAATTAATGGTATTCAAATCGATTTTTTATTTTGTTTTTTATACTAATTTTTCATTGAAGTTTGTTGTTGTTGTTGTCGTTGTTACCATTGAGACAACCACCTATTCTTTAATATGATTTGAAATTAAAAGAAACAAAATCAAATTCTCGGAATTGACAATTTAGACTTGTTAACTTTATTGTGATTGAAATATACAACAAGAAAAATAAAAAAAAAAGAAGAAAAAAAGACAATAACAACTTTATATTATAACTAAATTATAATAAACTGTCTTTTTTTCTGGAATGGCAAAGCAAACAATTTTATGTATTTGTTATTGTGTTGTTTCTTGCTGTTGACACTTTGAAAAAAAAACTGACGGTCGATAAGTTGAAAACAGTATTCATTCATAACGATTTCAAATTCTGTTTGTCAATTGTATGTTATCCGAAATCGATCGTATACCTTTGGTTTTGCACAAAAAAAAAGTGTCAGAAAAAATGTAAATAATTTTGTTTTTTTTTCATTTCTCCAACGTTAAATCGATTATTTTGTTTGAAAACTGTTAACAGTTTTTTTTGATGAAGTGTCAAAAATTCGATATAAAAAGTGATATTAAGGTAATAATTGTCTATGTTATCATTATGAATTGAAATAATGTTTTTTTATTTTGTTTAATGGCCATCAATATGATAAAGTAATGAAATTTATAACTGTAAAATTTATCTTTATCGAAAATCTTAAACATTCATTCATTGAGTGAATTGATAATCGAATGTATGTAATTTGATACATTCTTAGTGTTTTTTTTGTTTTGTTTTTTTTGTAGTTTATTTATATTTGAGGATAAATCAATATTTTTATGATTACATGAGTACGATTATTCTTTTAGCTTTGTTGATACATTGATTTTATTTTTGAGAAGGAAAAATATTAGATTGGAAATATTCAGGCAATTTGAAAATCAATAACTTTGTTTGACAAAAAAAAAAACAAATAGAAAATTGATTTTTTTTTCCTGAATGGAAAGGAAAAGAAGGACTGAATATCTGAGATTAACATGGGATTAATGTAAGAAAATTATATCTAATTTTTTTAAGTGAAGAATATCCAATCTTTTTTTAATTCATCTATAAATAGAGGATGTATGTAGTATACCTGTACAGATAGATTGATTTACAGGAACAAAATCAGAAGCATGCAACAACAACAACGTCAAATTCAAACACTTGAATTTCGTTTAGATTAACCAAATGGAAATTGGATACAATCGGGAAAAAAATTTGTTGTTAATTCCAAAGAATTGACAAGAAATTTTTTGTTTGTTTGTTTGTTTGTTCGGCAGTTGAAAGTGTAAATTCGTTTATATTGTACACGTTGACATACAGATATTAAATCGATACATTTGATCGATAGAATGACTTGACTTTCAACAACTTTTTTTTTCTCCTATTATCTTAATTTTCATTCATGTATTTTTTCAGAAAAATGTTTGGTTTTAAATTTCAAATGAATTTTCGTTCTCAAGAATTTTTTCTCCTCGTATATGATAGCCAAACTAAGAAAACTAGAGAGAAAGAAAAACAACTTGTCGTTCAAATTTGAAATTCAAAACTTTATATGAATGAGAGAAGAAAATGAATGACCAAAAAAAAACAAAACAAAATGTGTTGAGCAATAAACCTCTAAAAGAGTAAATATTCATTAGAAAAAAAATGTTCTGAATAGTCAGATAATTTTAATATTATGACTAGATATTTCAACTTAATGATGACATGACATGAATCCAATGATGACAAGTTAAACAAAAAATCATATCATCAATGCAATTGGATCCGTTTAATCACAAATGCCCATTTGACAAAAATCGAAAACAATTTTTTGTTTTGCCCTTTTCGATTTTCAATTATCATCAACACAAATTTAATCAAAAATTTAATCGATTTTTCATTTACAAATGATTTTTATGAGTATAATGTTTCAATTTTTGTTCCACTGTTGATTTTGATCAAAGTAAAAAAAAAATCCAGAAATTTTTTTTTTTTGTTTTTATCAATAAATGTATCGAATTACTTGTTTGATTTCTTTGAATTCAAAAGTCATCAATTGAAAAGTGCAACAACAACAACGAAAAAAAAAGATATCATCACTATCATTTTGGACTTTGATTAATATTTTTTTTTGCCCAAATGATAAATCTTGATGGCCATCATCAACAGCTATTATCTTTGATGTACAAATTAAACATTGAATAAGGATTTAAGGATTTAGATCATCATCATCATTTACACCCACATATGGACACATAGTCTTTGGAAATCTAGAAAAATGTCATTATATTTGAACAAGCAAATTTTTTCCCACTGTAGATAGTGTAGGCGCATACAGTTTATTTGAAATGAATTAAATTTGCGGTTAAAAAAATGTGATTTGAACATTTTTTTTTGTTGGCACTTGGATAAAACACCTAATTAAGTTGTTGTTGTTGTTGTTGTGGTCAAAATTTTCCGGCTGTCATTTTCATGATTCTTTTTTTTCTTATTTATTTATTTGAAAAGATTCAGGGTGAGGCCTCAAAAACAACCATCAACCACCAACTGATTTGAACAAATTTTTCTTCGTCATTTCCATGGTGCCAAGAAAAAAAAATGAAAAAAAAACATTGTGTGAAAAAATAGTGAACCATAGGTAACGAGTGTTTGACAATTTTTCGTTTTTTTTTATATTGACACTTGCATCGTACAGAAATTGGAATCTATCTCATCCAAACATTGAAACACTTGAAATATGCACAGGTGTGCGATTATATTGATTTTAATTTCTGGTGTAGTGGTAAATTGTTATTGACAATTTTTCTGTAAATAAACGATCAATATGTTGTCAGTTTTTTTTTTTGATACATTTGTTCGGAAATGAAATCCAAATTGACATTGTCTAAAAAAGTTCAGATTCATTTTAACAAAATTAATTATACCTGTAATAGACTATAGATGGCAGCACAAAGCTTGATATTTAACAATTGAATAATTTTCAAAAAATTACACAAGTTTTTTTTCCTGCAACCGATTAATGTCAAAGATGAAATGAACGCCCTTCAATCGAATGAAAAAAAAATATCTTATGTATCTGCATCTGTTTTTTGCAAATAACATTTGGGAATATACTTGAATTGTTATTTTTTCTCCTATTTTCAGCATATAGAATACTTCATTTAAATATATTTAAATATCATAGCGCCGTCGACGAAAAAAAAATTGGAACTTATCGATCGATCGAATGAATGAATTGATTTGACTTAGAAATTCACTATGGTTCCATTATTCTTAAGATTATTATTTACGTAAGACATTGTTGAACAATAATGTCCGTGGTCTAACATCTAAAAATGTTCAAAACGATGTAGACTCTGAATAATAACAAAAAAAAATATATTTGATAACAGCATTTTCGAAAACAACGACAAGATTGGTATACAACACGCCTGTTAATTTGTAATATACCAGAACACTAAATTTAACAGATTTAAAAAAAAGGATAGAAAGAGTGATACGGACAAAATAACATCAAATGACATGATGTGATGATGTTGATAGTTACAAACATGTCATAGCAAAAGCATGAAAAAAACATGCGATTCGCATCTTTGTAATACAAGTAATGAAACACAACACACGCCTAACAAGGTTGTCGCTAGTAATAATCATGATATTTGATTGGTCGATCATGACCACAATAGGGTGGAGCTAAATGGATATTCACCAATGGAATTAATATACGAGCTTTTCATGTATGAAAGATGATGATAATGATAACAACAACAACAAGAGAGGGATACACTGTACTAACCATGTCATGTATATTGTATTATTGTGTGTAACGACTGATTGCTACAAGTTTTGTTCATGTTGTGTTAATGCCAGTTGTCGAACAAACATTGTGTTGTTGTTTGTATTATGACACGGTTATCTCTCTCATTCAATTTTTATATGTGAATTCCAAAAAGAGAAAAAAAACGATTCCAGAATATGTAGCGGCAGATTTGTAGCAGCATGTGTTTTGTTGTTAGTAGTTTCATTTGGCTACAACGATAATAACACGAAACAATAATATGTGCTACATATGTATCCACGAGAGCATATGTCGATTATGTTGTAGGTACAAAATGGTACTACTGTTATTGCTGCTGCTCATTTTGCTCTGTCTGGAATAAAAAGAATACAACAACAACAACAACAACAACAAGTACATGATGTAGCAGTTATGTTCGACAACACCACAACAACACAACCGACAACGAAATAACAAGTCCAGCCTTCTTTTACACAATTTCAATCCATATCTTTCATTTCGTTGGCTCTTTTCATTTTTTTTCTTTCCTCTCTCTCTCACTCTTTTTCGTTCTTTTATTTCGCGCTCTTGTATTAACTTGTATTTTATCAATGTATATTTGTAACAAGAAGAGAAAGCAAAAGAGGAGGATTTTTGATGTTGTGAACATCATGTTACACACACATACAGGCAAGTATTCCCGTTAGACCCACACACACAAAATACCCACACAAATAAGTAAAGAGCTGCGGAACATGTGCGTACTACATGTAACAAAACACACCTATCATCATCATCATCCAAAATTTTGAACACGAAAACAACAACAAGAAGCATAACACAACACGACAACCTAAAAACTACTAAACTACCACACACAGACAAATACTTACAAGAAAGACAAGAGCAAATTCGTTCCATGGTTTTAGTGTTGTAGTTGTTTGTATGTTTGTGTCGTCATCATCATCATCAATTCGAATCCCTTGTAGTTGCAAGTTTTTTTTCATTATTATCATTATTATAAGTTTTGTTCGTTTCAAATTCAGTATGAAGATGATCATCATTTGTGTAAGTCATTCATAAATAGATGACAAGACTTACCGAACAAATTTGTTTCAATCTTTATTTAATGCCATCATGTGTGAATTCATGTCGACTTGTAACTTTTATATGTTCCGTTGTTGATCAATCTCATCATCATATCCATTTAATGTCACACAGTTACCGATGTTCCATTTACCAATCTATCTTATTATTGAAATTTTTTTTAACAATTTGAATCTATATCAAATTTGATTTAAAGTACAATATCCAATCAACAATTGAATTCCAATTTTATTTCATCTTTTAATGTTATATTCAAATCAAATATCGATCGACTGTCACAAATTATTAATTAATTTTACAATCAATTAATTAATTAAAAACGGACAGTATAAAACAAACATATCAATGATAACAAACATCATTGTCAACATTATCAACAATCCTGTACACGGCTAATCCGGTCTTGATTATCTCCATCATTTATTTTTTTCATTGTGTTTTTTGTATGTCAAGTCAATTTCAAATTGATCTTAATTATTGATCAATTTGATTTCGATATAAATATAATTGATCTCACCTTTGATTCATCCATTGTTACTGTTGTTAATTTTGTTTTGTTTTTTTCCTTTTTTCATCATAATCATCATTATCATTATCAGGTGTTGCATACCTATTCTATCTTTACAAAACAATCATCTATTAATGAACAATTAGTAATCATCAATATCATCATTATCTTTTGGTTTAATGTAATTTCAATTATCATTTTTACATATATTTCCAATATATCTGTGTCGCTATCTACGTCTATGTGTCTATTTGTGTGTATGTTTTGTAACAAACAAAAAACAAACTATTTTTTTTTGGTAACCTTATCATCGGTTTGATTTATGGTTAATTAAAAAACTTACTTGTTATTTTTCTATTTCTAATTACTGTTACATTTCAACATCATTTTTTTTGCTGGAAAAGTCATTAATTTGTCACATCATAATTGAAATCATTATTATCATTACTGACATACATATTTTTTTTAAATAATTAAATTAAATTCTGTATGTCTTGATCTAAAACAACAACAACAAATCACATTTTAAATTCAATGATCGAATCAAGTCATGTCATGTACAGAGCATTCGAAACAAAATCATTCTGATCACCATCATCATCATCATTCTAATTCAAAGTTATCCATAAAAAGTGCCACGTTGAATAAAACATCTAAACGTCGATCTTCATCCTCATCATCATCATCATCATCATCATCTGAATCATATGCTTCATCATTAGTTAATAATAAATCAAATAAAAACATAAAACAACAATTGCCTATTGGTTGTGATTCACACTCTTCATCATCATCATCATCATCATCATCAAACATACATAAAAATCGATCAAAAGAATCAAAAAGTGAAAATAATAAAAAATCATCTTTATTGGTAAGTAAGCAAATAATTCTATCGATTTTTTTGTTTTGTTTTGTTTTGTTACCTTCAAAACAAATTTTAAATTAAGCCTTGAATTTTGTACGAACAACAGAAAAAAAAATTAAGTAAATGAATAAATAGAATTAGTATCGAACTTAATTTGATTGAAAAACAGGTGAAAAAAAACAACAAATTTTGTGCTGTTTCTTGTTTTATTGTTGTTCGATGTTAAGAATCGATATATGTTTTAACTGCGCAACAAATTGGATGCGTTTTTAATTGGATTCCAATTGAAAAATGTTATCATCATCATCGTCATCAACATTATGATGTGATGCAATTGTGATTGTTGTTGATTTTCTCTTGTCATTATTATTGTATGTACTCATCGTTTTTTTTTTGTTATGTTTCGATTGCCCAATCGGTAATAAAGTAATAAATTTGTATTTGGATGTACCAGAAAAAAAAGAAATTTTCTATTTTTTTTGGCCACAAGTTTCTCAAATCCGGAATGATTCATTAGATCCACACATACGCACATATGGTGTTGTTTTTTTTATCATATCTGTTAATGTATGTTATTTTTTGGTTTTTATTGCTCAAATATAATACCCTCGTTTCATTAAATTGATAGCTGTCTTGTCTTTTTTTTTCTTTGCAAAATAGCACCATATAAAGTTAACTAGTCAATAGGAATAGCCCGAGATCATCATCATCGCCAATGACCTGAACACAAAACATTTGTGTGCATGATGATGAATACTATTTGATGACTTGATTGGGATATGTTTCTTTTAGTTGTTGTTGAACGTTGATTTTTCAAATAGCACAGGTTTGGCTACTTATTGATGATAAACAACAAGAATAATAATAATAATAATAAAATGGTCAACAAAAAAAACAAGCAAACAAACAACCAATAAAACAATTTACAACTAGATCTTTTTTGAATACATTTGCATAAACATGGCAACAAGCTATTCGACAACAAAACAAACATGAAATAAATAAGAAATAAATTCAGATCATCATCATTTAAAATAGATCGTATACGAAATGTCTATGTTGAATCGTTTCCAATGTGTTGTCCATCTCATTATTGGGATCCAAGAAAAAGTTTTATTATTATTATTATTGTTGTATTTGTGTCTATGTTATTCAATTCGATTAGCATAACTAAAGTAGAACATGTTGAATCAATCGAATTATTCATTATACGTGTGATGAATGTGAATGATTGATGGAAAATTTTTTCTCCTTAAAAAAAATTCAAAATATTGTTGTTGACAAGTTCAATTTTTTTGATGAACAGGAACCAAATACAATATGTGTTTTGGAATGTAAACTTGTATGAAATTTATTTTTTCTCTTTTTGACCATTATTGTAAACATAGAGCTAAATAATTGATAATATTTGTTATCAACTATGTATTTTTTGTTATGAAAAGATATTTCTATTCACCAAATCAATAGTGTATGACAACATAAGATTTGTTCGAATGATTTTGTTCAAACAAAGTCTATCATTCTTAAATAATATGAACATTCATATTTATCAGCAAAATTGTATCGTAATATTTAAGTAAATAAACGGTTATTTATATGAATGCTACAAATATGTAAAAAATCTATTCAATATGATAAAAATATTTATAGTGGTACAAATACTTTCATGTTACATTGAAAAAAAAAGTGAAAATTTTCAATAGAATTTTGGCATTCATAAACTTAAATGTTTGCTTACAAGAATTTATGTTCACATTTGTACTAGGAAAAGAAATTTGTCTAATTAGAAAAAACGTAATGCGTATGATGATGATCTGAGACAGAAAATCTTGAACAACTCGTGATTTTTTTTTCGAAGACAAGTCAAATGAAATGATGATGATTGTCGTCATAAATTTCTTTTTGATGATGATATTTTTGTTGTCACCATTTATTCTGCTGCTGTCTGATTAATTTTCAAATTCGTGTTCTTTTTTTCTTCTCATACACGAAGATGATTTGTGTTGGAATGAATTTGAATATTTTTTTCTTTAGTTGTTGTTGTTGTTGTTATTGTTGCATGTTACATGTCGTTCGGTGTTTTTTTTTCTTTGTAAGCATTATTTCATTTCTGGCATTAAATTTGGTTAGAATAGAAATTGCATTTTTTGGAAAAAAAACAAAGAATAAAAATTTTTTTAAGAATAGCGGCAATTACGATTGTTGTTTGAAAAAATATCCCTTTTTTCTATTCTGATTCTCGGTAGGGAATATTTATCTATCGTTTAGTTGTTGAATGTGAACGATTCATAATAATAATGAATAATCTCTGTTTGTTTGATATTGTTTCAATTATTTCTCATTTATTGTAATTACCATTTGTTTGTGGTTTTTTTTTCTAACATAGTGGTTATGGTGTGTTATTCAACGATAATATAATTGTCTACCATATTTGTTCAATTATTATTTGTTGATGATAATTGATATGTAATGTAATGTTGATTGGTCAAACTTTTGAAAAAACATAGCCTAAAGGGGTAATGTCCTCTTGATTTTTTTTCTTTGGTTTGTTGAGGTTGTTGGTGGTTTATTGTTTGTTGATTGTTGACGAATTATTCGGCCACAAGCACATACGTACACCAAATGTGAATGATAATTGAAAGACACAAATTTAAAGCTTGTCAAAGCATAGCAAATTCAATCAATGATCAACAAGGCTTGCTTATATCTGAAGAATAGTTTTTGACAGAATATTGCCGACAAATGTTAATCTGATCGATTATAATGTTTGATTTTTTTCAATATGATGCCGTTGTTGTTGTTTTTTACGTTGTCATTGATTTAAAAATCAGAAACAAACTAGATAAATTTTGCTATGGCTGACTGATCATATATGATTCATATGTATCTTTTCTGTGTTTGTCTTTGCTTGTTTGTTCATAACAAGAAAACAAACTTCTAATCTTCTTAGCTTTTTTTCATTCATGCAACACACACACACACAAACACAGAAGCAATCGAAAGTTTTTTTTTGCATTTCCTTCGAAGACTAAGGTAAGCATACATCAAAATGCCGGCATTTTTCTTCATGAATCGAAGAAAAATTCCGAAGTTATTTTTCAAAATATAAATATGCTTGTGTTTATGTATGATGACACCTACACATGTTAACTTCTCTTGATAATGATAATGACGATGATGAATCAACCAACCACATATAAATTTTGACCTACCGCAGTCTTTACAATAAACATCTTGATAGTTCTTTGATTCGATTCAATTTGGTGATGATGATGATGATGAAAGCTTTCATTTTGAATTTTCATCAAATTGATACAAAATGAAAGAGATTGTGGAAAAAAAGTTTTCAGTAGCATTAATATTTTTCATTTAATAATTTTAGATTTTACTTCGAATTGAATTTGTAATTCTTGTTTGATGATTTCATGATTTTTTAATAAAATTTTTTTTTTCACATTTTTTTCACTAATTAGCTCAACATGCCTAGTGCATCAACACCTACTTCCTCAACAGCATCAGCTATTAGTGCTACAGCTCCTTTATCATCAACTTCATCATCATCATCATCCTCATTATCAATGGTTCAAAGTCAAAAATGTACTAGTTCACCAAATCAGCCGGATTTAGTAGTTAGTGCGACAACGACAACAGCGATAAATACATTGACAACACATTCACAACCACCGCAATCATCATCCTCATCATCTTCAACAACAATAATGCCACCACATACTTCATCCGGTTCCACATCAGCCCCATCATCAACGACAACAACTGCTTGTTGTGAAACTGGTCGTCCAATACTCACTGATCCATTTACAGGCCAATCCATTTGTTCATGTCAATATGATGCACATCTTTCAAATTATCAACGTTTAGCAGCTTCAGCAGGTTTAATGTATAATCCAGCAGCGGCCGCAGCTGCTGCTGCTGCTGCAGCAGCAGCATATAGTTCATCATCATCATCATCCTCGTCATCATCTTCATCATCATCAACGCCTGGTAGTGGAGGTATCAATTTAGGATCTGATATAACACCAAACGGAACAATAACATCAACGAATACCACCAATAGTAATACACCGACAACTACAACACCATCGATTCCATCAGCAGGACCACCTGGTTCGGTTGCACCACCACCACCACCGGGTTCGACCGGTAATGATTCATTTTTACCTCTTTCACCTGAACAATTACAATCAGCGGCATCGTTTTTTCCACCACCAACGGTATGCACAAAATTTGTTTATTAAAAAAAGCAGACAAAATAGTTTTTGAAAAAACATAAGATTTTTCCTTCGAAATTCAAAATTGATTCATGATGAATATATTAAGTTACATTATCAGCTTGACGAATAAACATATTCAAATGTATACGCAGCTGGGCAAGTGTTCTTCATGTTTGTTTTTTGGTTTTGCCTGTATCAATTTTTTTTTTTGTTTTGAAACCCAGTAATTACTAATCTATCTGAAAATGGAAGGACATTTTTGATATTGAAATGATAGTTTTTATGCTCAAAAAATTATTCACATAAAGATTATCTTTGCTAATGAACTGAACTTGAAATGAAAAAAAAACTGAAAATTACGTGTTATCTTATTTACAATCATTATTCGTAAGATTTTTTTATTTGTTTGTTTTGTTCTGTTTACAACAAAATCAAAATCCATCATATTTCAATATTTAAGACGAGGAAATGTTTCATAGTAATGACATTAAGATAATGATCAATGATGTTAGCTGTTGTTGTTGTTTTCACTGTTTATCTTGCATACATAATCTTTTCGATAATAATAATAATAATAATCTCATTATCAATAATCATTCGATTGCAATTAAGACATAATGATTATAATGATGATGATTAAAATTCACAATTATCACATGACTCTTTTTGTTTTTCATAATTCATTTTTTTTAAAATTTTTGAAATCTAATTTTCCTTTTTCATTCTATTTTATTTATAAAAAACAGGCAGCTGGATTTGATTTAAAAGAAAATTTAGATATGTGGCGTAATCTACCGTATTCAATGTATTATCCATATGATAATTCCGGTTTGACCGGATATCCATTTGCCAACGGGTAAGTGCGCGTTTGTTTATGTTTATTTGTTGATAGATTATCAATATATCGTATTAACGCCGAATGATGATGAGCATCATTACTCTAGATGTTTTTTTCAACTGCATTTACTTAAATCTCTTTTTTTTCTTGGAATAATTATCGATTATGATGATAATCATTCAAAATGAGTCTTTATGTGGGAGCTATATATCTGTTTTTTATATCATTGTACAAGCAAGCAAGCATACTAACGAAACAAAAAACAAACATCCAAAAACCTGCCAAAAAAGACTTGAACATTATTCCTACACTGTATGCACAAACACACATGTCATTTGCATAAGTCGATGTGATAACCAAATGATGAGATGATGATGATGATAGAAAAAAACGAAAAAATAGGCGCCAGATGTGCGCTTATTCAATCTATTGAAAAGTACCATTGAAGATAGAAAGAGAGTCACAAGAATCGAAACTCAATTTTTATGCAAAACTTTTTGTTTTTGTTTTGAAATTGTATTGATGATGAAGAGCCTGATGATGATGATGATGATGATGACAACCACCAAATAGCGTTGAGCCCAAATGTCACTTCAATTCATATAAACACCATCCACACATAAACATACTTGACTCTTGTTGATGATGTTGATGATGATGATGAGGTTGGTGGTGCCATATGAACTGAAGATGATCATCAACGATGAGTGCATGCGATTTTTTTCATTTCAATTTTTTCCCCTATGCTGAACTTTGTGTGGGCGTCTGTGTATGTGTTCCCAAAGAAGAGTATGAAATTCGATGTTTATTTGTATAACGTGTGTGTGTGTGTGGTTGAGATTTTTCAAAAAAATGAGTTTAGAAGTTCATCGTCACCATATATTTCCAAAATAAATATTATTATGATGAAATTGGGTGGTACCAATCATGTTATGTTTTAGTATGAAAAAACGAAGGGGGTTGATTGATGCATATAAATTTCATCAATCTCATAAATAATGATGACAATCTTGTTTGGTGCTTTATAATTATTGTAATCCGTAAATGATGAGGATAATGATGATTGTCATTATTATGTTTGAGAATTTTTCTTGTCGGTAAACAAAATTGAGAATAATTTCTCTGTATATGTGTGTGTGTGTGTGTGTGTCGTGATTATCATCCACGAATGATTAATTCACTTGAATACAAAATACGACTACTAATCCATCATTCATCCCCATAAATGGTGAATATAATTTTTTTCTGAACAATAATTATCAGGTTGAATAGTAATCAAAATATTTTTATTTTTTTACAAAAATGATTGGTTATTATTATGTAAATAAATATTATGACGATTGTGACAAACAAACAAACAAACAAACACAATGACAACATATTAACCATCAAAATTCAAATGATTATTATTACCATGATTGGCTTTTGAACAAGATAATAAACAAGCTATTTATCTATTTAAGAATGAATGGATCTTATTGTTGAATTAAACACCACACAATTATCATCAAAAGTCTGGTACGAGAGGCCAATAAATTTCATATCCCTTAAAGATTACTTGAATTGAAAAGGAACAATTATCCGACAATGTGAAAGAAGAAAAAAACGATAAGGTTGGCATTGTATAATTAGTATAATCAAGTGATCTAATGAATATTATTGATAAATAGCTAGACATTTCATTCAATTTTTGCAAGAAAGAAAAAATTTACAATTTAAATATTGGAAAGGACAGAAAAATTAAACGACGAATTATTATTCCCCAATCAATATAGCAAAATTTTAATTCAAGATTTAACAAAAAAAAACATTGTTGTACAGCAAACATTATTGTATGTCGAATGATTAATGTCATCAAGTCTGAAAATCATTGAACCATCATATGAACAACATCAAATGAATGATGATTAAACTAAGAAAATTATTGTCCATGAACCTGAACCACGATCCAACACAAGTTAGTTTGCCATATACAAGCTATTGTTAGTGTCGAATATCGGCGTTAATTAGTCCCGGTTGTTGTTGTTGTCGTTGTTATTGTCTTAAATTGGTTTTGATATTACTGATAGGACAACTCAAAAAAGACATATGTATGTAAAGAATTTTGTTTTCTGTCATGGATTATTTCACTTGTCACTTTAAATATCTCATCATAATTATTGAAACGAAAAGATGGCATTCATCGTTATCATACTAGCAAAGTTCTTTTTTTTTGTAACAATGTTGTTGAACAAAATGAAAGTTTAGTTTAATTTCGAAAAAAAATCTTTTATTTTCTATTTTGCTAACTAATTTTTGTCGATGGAAATTCTTCATTTTTTTGCACGATATTTAGATAAGATTACGATTATTGTGATGAGAAAAAAAAGTAATTTGTGTGTGTGGTCGTTTTTTGTCATTCTCGTCATTCGGATAACTATGATAATAAAAACACGATAACAAAAAAAAAATTTCTAGTTTTCATAACACAAAATATTCGTATAATGCAGATTTCTTATATTTATCGAAAACAAATTCTCTTTACTGATCAGATGATCGATAGACAAATATTTTCAGCAAATACTTGTCTAAACTGGCTTTGATTATTGTTTATGGTTATTATTATTATGAAATCATTTAATTTACATTTAGATGATTAAACAGTAATCATAATGAACATTTTCGATATTTTTGTCTTCATAATGATAATGTTTTTAAACATTTGTTTGTAGTATGATGATAATCATATTATGGAAACAATCTATGTTATTTGGTTCTGTTGCAACTATTATCATTTTTTTAATTTGAAATCTCACTATCTACATGGAAAATGAAAATGAAATCTAAGAATTTAAAAAACTTTGATTTTTTTCCAAACAACAGAGGAAAATGTTACGATAATTGTTATGAATAGGTCCTATTGGAGCAATTGATATTGATATCACTTATTCGTTCTTGTGATTTCTTTTTATCGTATATTTTTTGTAATCGAAGTGATTGTAATTTATTAGACCAATTCCATTAGTTGTTCATAATGTTTTGAATTTGAAACATACAAACAAAACAAATTTTAAACAACATCAACATATTTTATCATTCGACAAGTGTTTTAAAGTGTTATGCATTTTTTTTCTCTCTTTTTTTCACCAAACACCTTAATAAATATTAGTTTCAAGATTCTAAATTTATTTTTTTCATATTATGATAGCTTTCATGTAGAATCCTGTACCGTTGTTGTTCATTGAATCTGTTTCAACTATAATTTCCCTCTTTTCTATCACTGAACAACCATACACAAATCATCATTTAGAATTTTTTTCTTTTACACAGTTCATATACAACAACAATCTCTTGTATATATTCGATAAATGCAAAAAAACATTACATAATTGAGCTTTAAAGTGAATGAGAGAGAGAGAGAACGAGAGAGTTCAATTGAGACATTATCACGATAATCATCATTGCAATAAATTTTCGGCATTTTTTCCCAATATATTGGAAATTGTTGTTGTTGTTTTGGCGTTATATTCTTCTAAAATAAAAATTGAAAACGAATATTTTCATCATTTTGGAAACTAAATAGAAAGAATTGTATGACGATAAATGACAATGACATCGATACACCAACAAAATAATCCAACAACTTTAATAACAACGAAATTGGATATCTAAAAAAATGGAAGCCTACACGGACCATTTACATATAAAATTTACACAAACACACTCAATTTATGAATAGACTCAACGAAATTTTTTCTTATTTTTAAATTCTATGATAACACATAGCTTTATAAGCAGGCTAATAAATTTTAATAATCTAACAAATGTTTTTTTTCAAACGAATTTTTTTTTCTTTCCAGAAGCATATTTTCAGATGCTATTTTGAATGTTTGAATGGATGAAAATAAAATGAAGAAAAGGACGGATTTTCCTCTAATGTATGCGTATGATGATGTTGATAATGGTGTGAATTGAGGCAATAAATTTTCACTTTTACCCAAACACCACGAAAAAACAAACTGAATAGAAAGCCAATCATAAGTTTTTTGAATAGGAATTTGATGGAAAAAAGATGTTCATTCACTTTCTATTTTCTTTTTCTTTTTTTTTCTTCAAATTTTTGAATTCATACTTTTCGTTTTTTTTTCTGTTTTCGTTGAGATTTAAAGATCAATAATAATCAAAAAAATCTTTCACTATTCAGATGAATAAATATCAATTTGTCGGCCAATGTCATGGCCAATGAAGAATTTTTCAAAAATCATAAACTTTTATACATACAAAGCAAAAACATATTCTTGAATTTGAATTGAAAAATGATTACTCAAATAAAATTTGATGTGTGTGTAGCAATTGACCTCCCACCACCATCTTGTATGGTGACAAGAAAAAACAACAACAACAACAACAACATATATCCATATAGTAAAATAATTCTGATAATTTATATCATCATGAAAATGATGATTGCAATCATAACATAAATCGAATGAATGATGAAAATTTTGTTCTCTGTTGTCATCTTGATAATATTTTCGGTGTGTGACTAGATATTTATTTAGTTTTTTTTTTGTTGAAAAAATTTGTTCGATGTGTGCGGTTATTGATTTATACACATATATCTTTAATAGAAAGCAAATGTTTGAAGGAAAAAAAATCCTAAAATGAAATAAATCTTATTCGACGTAAGTTTAGCTAACATTTGGCTAATATTATATATGGATAGGAAAAAAAGAATTTGTTGTCAATCTCAAATTTCGATCTTTATTAATTATGTCTTAGCTTGTTTATTTATCTTTTAATGTTTTTTTTTCTTCTTGTTTATCCATTTTATTTTTCTCTTTCAATTCCAGATATGGTATGGATCTCAATGGAGCACGACGAAAAAATGCAACCAGAGAGACGACAAGTACATTGAAAGCATGGCTTAATGAACATCGAAAAAATCCCTATCCAACTAAAGGCGAAAAAATCATGTTAGCTATTATAACGAAAATGACATTAACACAGGTATCTACATGGTTTGCAAATGCAAGACGACGGCTAAAAAAAGAAAATAAAATGACATGGTCACCAAGAAACCGTTGTGATGATGATGATGATGATGATCCGGATGATGTTAAAGATGGTAAGTGTGTTTAGATTTTGAATACACACACACATGTAAATACTTCACATACAATGATAATAATTTTATGATCATTACCGGTTTGAGAGAGAGAATTACACACAACGATTATAGTATTGAAAAAAAACTTTCATTACGTTGAATAAAATAAATGTGTGGTAATAAAATTAGTGGTTAAAAAATACCGACAACGTGTTGACCTTTACAATTTACAAACGTTACATTATTTTTAGTTCAATATTATAATGATGATAATTCGTTCGCGTCAAATTATAATACAAACGGAAACTAATAACTTTGCTCAAGCAATATATAATAATCATCATTCGATGACGGTGTTGAATTTGGCACCTTTTTTGTTTGTTACTAACAGCAGACTTTAGAATTTTTTTTCCGTATAAACTTGAAATTGAAAAAAATATATCAGATATTCATTAGATTATAAACTAGATTTTGGCCTTAAATTAGAAATTTATCATTTAACATATGTCACAGAACGCCCACACACACACACACACAAAAACTCGAAAAAGAGAGGAGCTTGTGGTCAAACTTATTCTTATGTAGGCCTAGCCGTATTATTATTATAATGGCATCTTGAATAAAGTATAAATATCATCACATTTACACTCAGTCACTAACACAAACAAACAAACAAATAAATAAATAAATGAATAGTATACATCAAATGATCACCTTATTTTTCAGATCGAATGATGATGATAATGATAATAAGTCACCATATGAGCCTGATAACCACTAACAAACAAAAAGAAATACTAGAAAGAAGATTGGTCAGAAATTGTTCATGCGTGTAATGAATGTTTGGGATTTTTTCTTTTCCTTTTGGTCTATAATTTATATAAGGATAATGATTTAGTGAGTCATTGAGATTAACGCCTTGTTTGGTGTTAATACAGAATCAGTTTTTTTGTGATCTGATTTTTTTCTATCGAAAAAAAATAATATTGAGTGATAGAAAATGAATGAATGTGATGTATATAGTTGGATAAATATCCAATTTTCTATTTTGCTTCTAGATTTAAATCTTGTTGTTGTTGTTGATGATGATGATGATTAATACTTGTTTTAGATTAATGAAAAAAGATGAAAAAAATTTCAAGCTAACTATAGAATAGAATGTTGAAGAGATCGATGACAACTTGACGAACGAATCGAATCGAATGGTATATGATAGGCGAAAATGAATTGAATTGACATTTTCGTCAACTATTAATTCTTATGATACATTTGTTTTTTGTTATTCACTCAATGCTCTAGCGATTCAATGTATATTTTATATGTATTGTTGTTTGGCATTTTTTTCAATTTAGACCATCTCATTCAACAATGTATTGATATTCCCAATTGGAATTCTGTCTGTCGTATAAAATTAGCTAACTTTCTAAATAATTTTTTTTTGTTTACGTATAATTTGTATGAAAATTCATTTGTCTCCATCACAATCACATGGTCATGGCATCCATACCACGATCTCTTAGAAATTGTCTCTCTGTACTATTTTCTCTTTTGGTCTCTTGTGACTTTTTTTTCGAAATGTGTACAAAAACAAAAAATTCTTAGGTCGCTCAGTTGTTTTGTTTTTTGTTTTTGTTGTATGTGATTAATTAATCCAACAAACACTATCATTTTCATTTATAATAATTCATCTTGTTTCATTCATTTTTATTATTTTTTTTCTCATTCGATTTTAACAGATGATAGTGATATTGTCGACATTGAAGATGATTCGGAATCAAAACCACACAATAATAATAATCATCATCATCATCATCAAACAAACCATCATAATACTAAACGGGAATGTTCGCCATTATCCGACATTGGTTCATTATCCGATTCTGATGTTTTACTAGGACAGCACAAAGGAATATCGCCCCATCTTCATCATCATTCTCATCCTCATCTAGGACCAAATAGTCGATTACACGCCTTACATCATCAGTTAGCTGCAGCTGCAGCTGCAGCAGCAGCAGCTGCTAGTGATGGTGGAACTGGTGGTGGTGATATTAAACCTCGAATCTGGTCAATTGTAGACACGGCAACTACCAATAATCCCAATAATCTTCATCATTCATCATCAAATCATCATACAAACAACAATAATAATCATCATAATTCATCATCATCATCATCACTATCGCCGGGAGCAAAATCGTCGGCTTCTGGTGGTAGTATCGGCCCGATCTCACCAATCGCTGCCAATCGTGCAGCTCGTCTCGATTATTTAACTGCTCCATATCTGAAACCTGGTACAAATACAGCCGCAGGTAATGGTGCAAATGCTGCAGCAGCAGTTGCCGCTGCTGCTGCGGCTGCAGCTTTACCACCAAGTTGGTATCCACCAGCAGCTTTTGGTCATTCTGGTTCAGGTGCATCGTCACCGTTTCCAGGATCCTTATATTCTTGTCCACCAGCTTTGATGAGTCATTTGATGGCAGCAAATGCTGCTGCGGCAGCCGCTGCAGCAGCCGCATCCGGTCAAACCGGTCCAAATTCTTCACCATCAAATACTGCTGCCGGACCACTTAATCTTCATAATTTGCCATCCCATTTAGTCGCATTACGAAGTGCAGCAGCAGTTGCAGCTGCTGCAGCTGCATCATCTAATCCAGGAGCAAAATAATGATTTTGGGCTACATTCATAATCTGATTTATCATAAGAAACGAAAATTATTATCAGAAAAAGGAACTAAATGAATCGATTTTTATTGATTTATTTACTTCGTTTCGATTCTTCAATCTTTTTAATTAATATTTTCGATAAGACTAAATGATTTTATCATGATCATAAACAACAACAACAAAAACATTAAAAAAACACATTTACAGATGATTAATTGTTTTAGTGTAGATGAATGAAAACTTCTTGCTATTTTTTTTCTCTCTCTCTCTTTCTTTCTCTCTAATTCCATTCATTTGCATCAATCCATTTCAACTGTCACTATACAAATCTTCAATCAGATCTTCAACCTTCGAAAAAATGGGCAAACAAAATGTTACTTGTATCAAAATGAAAAAAAAATCGAAATATTTGATAAATCATTTCGATCTATGATTGCATAACAACAAACATACCTGAACACACAAACAAACACAAGCAAAATACTAATTCATCCTGTTGTGAATATATTATATATCTACATCTCATTTAGTTAATTTTTTTTCACTTCACTCTGTTTGTTATTTTGATATCTGTTGTATAAATTGACCATTTATCTTCCTTATTATTATTATTATTATTATTATTTTCAAAAAAAAAATTCTTGTCAAAATCAAAAAAAAATTTCCAAACAAACACTCATACTCATTTATTCATTCATTCATTCATTCAACTCAATTCAGCTATCTTATGAATAATACTTATCATCACTATTATTACTTGATATATCTATCTGTAACAACTAATACATCTAATCTATCTATTTGAATGATAATAAGAAAAAATTCTTCAATATATAGCTTTTTTTCTCCCCAATTCATTGTTCTTGTTACTTCATATAAATGAATAAATCAATTTTTTCCTCATTTTTATTTCGAGTTATAAATTTTGATGATTTTTCTATCAAATAATGACAAATTTAATCATTCATTTGAACAAGAATCGAATCCAGAAGCTTAATCTCATAATATAAAAAATTTCTTTGTTCTAGTTGAATTATTATTGTCAAACAGAATTGGAAAAAAATATGTTAGATAATAATTATCATAGGATGTTTTTTGATTTTTATGACAACATATATTATCACCAATATATTATCAACAATTGTGATAATGAATAATAATTAATGGCAATGTTGTGATAATTATCAACCACAAAAGGTCAGACGTCAACGTTGGTTGAATTTTGGCTCACAGCAAAAAACCAACAAGGATGAAAGATTTGAAAGAAAAAAACATTTATGAATAAATGAAAATAATCTATCGCCTAAAGTAAAAACTTTTTTATATTTCTCGATTAGAACAATGGATTTTCGGATGGGTGTTCCATTGATCAATAGTGGTTTGTTGATTTGTTATTTGGCCAGAAAATTTCAAACCAAATCGTCTGACAAAAAGGATAAAATCCATTTCATTTTGACTAATTATACATCGTTGTCTGTTTTTTGTTGTTGTTGTTATTGTTGAAATTGTTGGAAAAAAATATATTGTCGATACGTTAACAATCAATATGCGTGCCGGTAATCAAATTTTCTAAACATTCATGACAAAACAAAAACAAAAAAACAATGGGAAATTTTTTTCGACTTCAAATCGTTTCCATCGATTTTGAACCAAACGTAAGAATTATATGATTAAATGATGACAAAGAACAAAAATGATTACCTAAAATGTTAGATTGCCTTTGGGTGGAATCCAACTGTGTGTATGTATTGTGTCGTTATATTTGCATGGCCGGTTTTCTAGTCAAAAGAAGACAAAAATTAAATCCAAATCGATGGAAAAATAAAACAAATCTGTCTCCTCATTTTTCTTATTCTATCTTCAAAGTTTCGGAAGTCTTTTTACTAAAAAAAATTTTAATAATCAATGTCGGTTTTTTCAATACAAACATTTACACAAAAAATTGATAATCATATCAGATGGGAAACACAATATTATTTTTTTTTCTCGAAAATGCATTTTGTATATATATCGATAAATATTTTTGTATGTCGTCCACTTGACGCACCTTTACCCGTAAAAAAAATCACATACTTGACTTTTGTGGTAGCCGAGAAAGCCGAAAATTTTTTTTCTTCCTTTTATTGATTCTCTCTAAATCTATGATATGTTGATGAAGATGTATAGTCAAACAAATTTGTTCAATGTATATTCATATCAATTAAAATATACAACCGTCATGAAACAATATTTGTATGATCAACAATAACTTAGTCCATAATAATTTTTTATCCATTATATTGTCATTCGGAAAAATATAAGTTGTTTTTTTCACAAATCGATAGAATCTGTGAAATAAGAAAAAAATAAACACATATTTTGATAATTGTTTACAAAATGAATGAAGTTTTTTTCGCATTCATTTATGCAATATGGTTAGATTTGATAATTTATATCATAGAAAAAGATACAATGAATATCAATGAACAATTTGCCGAATGTGTTCATGTTGATCCATAACATGCTGTAATATCGATAAAATTTGATACAAAAAAAAGACACTCAAGCACTCACACACAATTTCTATCGATGAATCGATTTCCTTTGATGAAAATTGACAAACATCAAACTTGTACAAACAAGAATAAAGTACATATCGTATGTGTGATATATGAGATTTTGATGCAATTTAAATCTTGTTTTTTTTCTTGGTGACCTATCATCTGTGTGGTCGCCGCCATCAACGACATCGACATGTTAATGTTGACATTATATCTCAACTCTATACATCTGTATGTGAAGATAATGCATAAAATTGGATCAGAAAAAATCTTCGGGAAAAAAACTAACCAGGTTACTATCATCAAGATCATGAATGAAAATTTATGGTAACCTATGTGTGTGGCCATATTATCATCGTTTTAACTTTTTTTGCATCATGCTCGAGTAATTGGTTCTCTTGTCCATTTTTTAAAAAAATATTCATGATGGTAAATAATCATCGCATCACAGATTGATTGAATAAAAGATTAAAATTTATTAGAAATTTTGTTTATGTTATTGATGTAATTTTTTGATATTCAAGTAAGTGAATCGAATGACAGATGTAACTACATAACTAGCGCCTTTACTATGATCGAAGTGATTTCATTGCATTCTATTCTGAATATTTTGTATGAAAAATTTTTATCGCCTAAAGTAAACAACAACTTGCCAAAAATTAACCATCGAGTTCAGACATACACGGATGATCAAGATCCTAAGATCGATACAAGTCAATGTCCAGTTTTTTTGTATACAGGATATTTTTTTCAATGAATAGAAAAAAAGAAGCTATCCTGTGGTGGTAATGGCAAGCGATCTTGATGATTTGAACAGGATCGTCATCATCAAACATCGATGCTAACAAGATTAGTTTTCGTCATATATTATAAGAACAGTAGTGTATGAAAGTTAATTTTCAATGAACATTTTGTTCGAAAACAAAGCTCAACATCATCAATCGACAAACAAATCAAGTTTATGAAGAAGGGAAAAAGATTTGATTCATTAAATACACCATCATACTGACTGACTGACTAACTGGTTGAATGAATGACTGATTAACTTGAAGTAATTAACAAATTAAATTGAATCCAAATAAAGCTTTCAAATTAAAATTCATTTTGTATGTATGTACGGAGTGAAATGGATGAAATGCACACGAATTAATCGTGATTGAATATAAAAAAAAACTAATCTGACCTGTGTATCCATGCGACATTGAATCAAAATTTATCAATAAGTTTGATGACAAATTCGACATGGATCAAAGTAAATACACAAACAAACATGCATTAAGATTAGATTATTATCGACAATTATCCAAAACCGAATAAAATGAACAGATAGAAATGATCTGAAACGAATGCATCTCATCATCATCCATCTAGTTTTTTGTCAATGCATTGAATTAGTCAGGCTGGCTAAATAATTATAAATTTTTATTGATAGATCATATTGCTATATGGAAATATTTAATTAAATATCATTGCATTTGATTTTAGATTTTTTTTTGAAAATTTGCTATGCTAATCTCCGTTATTTAATACTGTTGCTATTTTTATGTAAATCATGATAATGTATTGCTGATAATGAAATTGAAATCTTTATTTCAAATTGATTTTATGTTGTTAATGTTAATTTGTATTCAGTGATGCGAAACCAATGGACATTGAAAACAATTGGCATGAAAACTTTGTTTTGAATGATAAAAATTCTTATTATTGTTATCAGCTTTGAATTTAATTTAATAATAATGTGATTGTGATAAAGGGTTTTTTTCTGTCCTAGGAGATGATAACAACAAAATTTTATTTCCGTTTTCTTTCTTTTCTTTTACTGTTCGTATATTTGCACAACAACAACAAAATTGTGGTAATGAACACAAACACAATTTAAAGAATAAACAAAATTGGTTAAAACAAACGTTTCTTGTACTAGAAATAATAGTTTTTTTTACGATCTTGTATTATGATAATAATACATCATTATACAATATTCAATATTCTATGAAGCGAATCCATCTTTATTCCATTCTAAATTCCAGAATAATTCACACAAAAAATGATAATAAAAAAATGGCAAATTCACACAAACACATATGGTTGTTATGCTTTTTGTTGTTGTTGTTGTTGTTGTTGCATAGAAGCATATCCTCTGAAGTTATCAAGGAACTAAAAAGGAATTTTGTTGTTATTGTTGTTTGCTGCTTCTGGCTTTTAATCAACACGAAGTGGCCAAATTTTTTCCTTGCTGTAATAAAAGTTTGTCTAAATAGCTTAATGTAGAAGTTTAAAGAATAAACAATAACATCAGTATCCACAACGGCATTGAATGATGAATAGTGAATCTAAATTCAGATTTTTTTTTCATACTTTTTCAAAGATGAAGTGGGTAATTAAAAAAAACACATTACATACATTTGCGGTAATGGCGTCGAATATGACTTTCTTTTATCTCTAATGTTATGTATGATTCATTCGTTTATGAAACAAATGAAATATTATTGTTAGTATTATCGGCCGATCGATCATTATGGATGAATTTGATCA